ACAACTTAAAGTTTCATGCCATCTCAGGCACTCATCAGGTGATATGAACATCAAGAAAAATAACCCACTATTTAAAGCCCAGTATGGCGGGACAAGGATAACAGAAAGCGCTAGGGGCGCTATCAACTCATATCCGATTCAGTGTCATAGCCAGTAAGGATCGCGGTACTAAGGTGATAAAGGATAAAGGTGATAAAGGTGATAAAACTGAGCTGGCCTAGCTAGTGAGTTCCGCGGTGCAAAGATGATGATGGTGACAAGGCGGCAGAGAGCTATCAACTGGCCCTACTGCCTGGAGGCAGGGTGCCGAGAAGATCATGTTATCGGTGTTGACAGCATGAATTTATTTTGATGTCGACATTTGGATATCAACTCCGACCGCTTGTTGAGGCTCGATCTCCTGTCGGCAGTGATTATTCTCGCCTTCTCCTCGAGGCACAGGCTGCATCTTTTTGTTATGTTGCTGTAGGCCTTGGCCTTCTGGACCACTCGCCACTTGATGTCGTGCGTCTTGCCATTATCTTTTAATTCCCACACATGCTTTGAGAGGCCCGTGGATTTGCGGTATCCAGGAAGCTTGATGGATGTCTTGTGGTTCCCGTATCGAAGCTTGAATGGAGGCTCCGTACTGCCAATGTAGGTTTTGGGCCCATCGCTGTGGCCATCACTCGACACCTCCGCCGCGTAGACTATGCTGGTTGCTTGGCACGCTCCGTTGAGAGGGCACTGGTCCTTGCGACGGCAGTTGCACGGCTTGTCCGGTTCCTGGACGCACAATTGACGCTTATTGTGGCCACTGATAATGTGGGCCATATTCGGCAAACAGGAGTAGCTCACCTTCACATTGAAGCGGTTGAAGATTTTGTTCATTTTGGACCCCTTAGGAAAATGCTTGTCGATCAGCCGGAGGAAGGTGCCGGCGATGTTGGTCCGGACACTCTTGGAGTATGGCGGGTTAAACCACACCACATTCCGTTTCCTTTTTCTTTTTTGCTTGCTGCCGTTCATTGCAGCAGGTGGCGTTGGGTCAATGTACTTGATGTTGGCAGGTAATCCGCTGGCCGCTAATGCATTGCGATATGCAGGGGCAGCATCGGCGAATACGCCACTGTCGGCAGATATGCTTGAGACACGTCGAGCGATCATATCAGGGATGTTCCGTAGTATGGATGGTGGGTGATTGGACATGGCGTTGACGTAGAGAGGTGCGTCTCCAGGTTAACGATACGGCTGGAATTTCCCGGTGTCGAGGCTGAGCGTGACATCTAGGAAATTCACTGTCGAAAGATTAACGTCGATAGTGATTTTTAGATCATACTGCTTGAATACTTCGATAATGGACTTCCTCGTGCGGTCGGCAACTGGCCCTGGTGCATTTTTCAGCACGGCAAGGCCGTCGTCTCTGTAAAGTCCAATTCCGGCCTCATCGACGTGCACAGACAACTTTTTTTTTTCTTGATGTTCATATCACCTGATGAGTGCCTGAGATGGCATGAAACTTTAAGTTGTGACTGATCAAGCCATCTGTTGTTCTGACTAGTGTGTCACGGCTCTACCTTCCAGGTATCGAGCTCTCTTGGATTTCTGCTAGAATTCACAACAGTATATATATATATACATACTGTTGTGAATTCCAGCAGAAATCCAAGAGAGCTCGATACCGGGAAGGTAGAGCCGTGACACACTAGTCAGAACAACAGATGGCTTGATCAGTCACAAATTAAAGTTTCATGCCATCTCAGCCACTCGTCAGGTGATACATATACATATACATATACACACAACAACAAGGTTGTCAGTTTCATAACACTAAAAGCTTTTCACCCATTTTCATCAGTAGATACATGGGAATGAGCAAAAACGAAGCCAGAATTTATACTGGGGGTAGAGAATCAGCAAGAATATTCTTACGCGCCTCAAGTTCACACTACACTACCATAAGAATGTATGGAGCAGTGGAAAAATGCGGGAAACAACACATGAGGGGAATGCAGTACCAGAACAAACACGTGATAAAGTTGTCAGTCCGGTTGCAGCTTGAACAGCTGCAGCACCTTGATGTGCTTCTTTTGTCGACACAGCTCTGGCCTCAAACTGCGAATGTACAGCGCCTCCAGGGTGAATCTGTGCGCGCTGTTCCGGGCTGGTGTGATGACACTGAAGCTGCTGTTGCGTTCTTGCGGGATGCATTCAGGTTGCGCCTGCAAATGCTTTGTGATGGCGCTATCACTTGTTGCCACACGTTTGTCAGGCGGCTTCTTGTACAGCTTGTCTGGGATATGCTGCTTGATCCTTTCCACTCATCCACTCAAAGTCCACTGATCCACTCAAAGTACTCAAGCGAGTCATGACAAGCGTTCTTGAACCTAGCCCAGATACAGCTTCTGCACAACTTGAACCTGCAACGCGTATTATCACAAAATTGCCGTGGAAAGGGCAAAATTGCATTGCCTTCCGCAAAAAGATTAAAGCTGCAATTTTGAACTGCTATCCTACAGCATCCCCCATTGTAATTTATACAACCAGGCCCGCATTCAGGTCTATCGCGAAGGATGTTTCACCATCTCTTGAAAATAGTAATTTTATTTATAAGTATGCGTGTCGCTGTGAGCGAACGTACGTTGGTGAGACATGTCAGCGATTCTCGGAAAGGATCAAGCAGCATATCCCAGACAAGCTGTACAAGAAGCCGCCTGACAAACGTGTGGCAACAAGTGATAGCGCCATCACAAAGCATTTGCAGGCGCAACCTGAATGCATCCCGCAAGAACGCAACAGCAGCTTCACTGTCATCACACCAGCCCGGAACAGCGCGCACAGATTCACACTGGAGGCGCTGTACATTCGCAGTTTGAGGCCAGAGCTGTGTCGACAAAAGAAGCACATCAAGGTGCTGCGGCTGTTCAAGCTGCAACCGGACTGACAACTTTATCACGTGTTTGTTCTGGTACTGCATTCCCCTCATGTGTTGTTTCCCGCATTTTTCCACTGCTCCATACATTCTTATGGTAGTGTAGTGTGAACTTGAGGCGCATAAGAATATTCTTGCTGATTCTCTACCCCCAGTATAAATTCTGGCTTCGTTTTCGTTCTTGCTCATTCCCATGTATCTACTGATGAAAATGGGTGAAAAGCTTTTAGTGTTATGAAACTGACAACCTTGTTGTTGTGTGTATACAAATTTTGTTCGCCTACGTCTCTATTTAAATATACATATACATATACATATACATACTCAATCTGCGGACAGCATCCATATACACAGTAGTACATGTAAAAGTGAACCGTGACTTGTTTTTGACTATTCATAACTGCTTGCGCCTGTACTACCTTTGAAATTTGGTGATCTTAATCAGCTGGTCGGTTGATGTGAATTGAGCTCTGGGCAGTGTTAGTTTCTGTGAATTGAGCTCTTGGCAGTCGAGTCAAGGTAACTGGGAGTATTGCTATGCTTACCAGTACTGGCTTGATCAATGCTAAACATGAAATTTCCGCCCCGATCGAGCAGAAACCAAACACTTTCAAGATGTTCGTAAAGAGCCTGAAGTGTGTCCTTTTTATGAGTATTATCGCATTTTTGGTCTCAGAGGAAAATGTAAATCTCACAAATTATCAAAATTATTATCGTTGTCCACAGACCACTGTGAGAAACAACAACCACATCAAACCACAACATAGTTTTCCAGCTAAACTGGACTCTTTGACACTGCCCACCATCAGCGAAACTAGTTGTGAAACAACTAAATCGATAAGTCGACTGGACAGTCAATAAGGTGGAGTCAACAGAAGGGAAACCCTTATCAACTGGTACATTATTATTATTATTATTATTTTTTAAAAGAGGTCGGAGGCGGATAATACTTTAAAACGAAGGTAAGTTATGGGTCGCAAGTATCCACGCAAACACACATCCAGTCATAATAAGGCACTTGTCATAATTATCCGAACGTTTTCGGTCCCTTCTCATCAAGGATTATACAGGGAATGGCTCAAGCTGGAAAGACTAAAACTTATATAGCGTAAAGATAATTAGATAACAACACTCGTGACAAGGTGGAAAATTATCAAGTTTAGCACGACACAAAACTCGAAGGAAGATAATAATAGTGACAACAACATAGTGAGCAAATTAAGTTACATTGTTACCACCTCGACGAGGAGTAACACCAAACAATTGTAGCGACAACACAACAACAACATCAACTAGCTGGAGAGCGGAAGCAGTTTTTGGAGCTCCGTAGTTTTTTTAGCATAATAGTCCGCTCCCAGCCCGTATGGCTGTGGATGCACAGGTAGCAAACTAGATCACCTAGAGTGCTGATTCACTACAACCGCCAGGCGTCATGGCCGGAAACGGAGCTGATACGGAGCCCTGGCGACAGCTCTCGTCTTCGACACTGAAGAAGAACACTGTTGTATTCCCCTCGCAAGCCCAGGTAAGCGTGGGGGCCTACATAAAGCTCCTAGAAGAGCAAGGTATCACCGGCATCATTTCGATGCAGACAACAAGCAGGGGTCAATGTAGACTTACCGTTGAGTCATATGAAAAAGCCAAATTGTTGGTGCTCAATGGCTTCGATTGCAAGGGCGAACGGGTTTCACCACGCTTCGTTTCCGCACCAACAACACAGATACACATCCACGATGCTCCGATCTGGATCTCAGACGGTGTCCTAAAAGCTGCGCTCTCACCGTACGGAAAGCTAATCGGTGAGATACGACACGGCAAAATCAAACTTTCAAACGGCACCCAAACAGCAACTGGTGTGCGATTCGCCACGTTTGAACTCAAACCAGGCAGTTCGATCCCGTCGTACCTGCGTACGACGTAAGGTTCTCACGAGCTCCGCATCATCTACGACGGCCAGGTAGGCACGTGCATGCAATGTGTCCAGCTAGGTCACATCGCGCGTACCTGCCAAAACCGTCGCAGTGCACACACCTCCACGCATGCCGGCAGAGAAGGCAGCAGCACTGGCAGCACAGCTACAGAGCGGAACATGAACAGCGGACCTGAAGCGGAGTCTCACCGTACCGATTCGGCACCAAAAGCGTCCCCGACTTTGACCCACGCCAGCGGCGTATCCCAAACGGCCTCCGATGGTGCCAACACCACGCCGAAAGCAGACGTGCTCTCGAGCTCGCACCCAAACGACCCAGTCAACAACCAGTACGAGTCGTATGAACACGACATCGCATCGCCCATGTCGGCAACCAGCACGACCGTGCACCCCGGAACGCCGCCAGGCAGCACAAATACAAGTACGACAACATCCAACTCACCGCACACCGACACAACTACTCCGACAACAAAGTGTAGTCACCCAGATTCGGCGCGTGCTGAAGACCTCCTCTCCTCACTGGTGACTAACACAGACATGTCTAACCAGCCAGCAAACCCCTGGATTACCTCCGAACGACGCAGGAGACCCAGTCCCAATGCGGAATCCTCACCTGATTTCAAAAATTCCAAAAAACAAAAAGAGAGCAACAACATCGACCCTGGCCAAAGCCAACCCCTTGCCCCGGCACAGGGCTCACGCTTCAGCCCACTGGTGTCACACGATACTCAATCCTAGCGCTGTCCTCCACACAATATCAGTGAGAACAATACTTTCAATTGCGGAAATACCAAAAAAAAAGAAACAAATTACAAAAATAAATAAAAAATAATGGAAGTCGCGAATTTCATCAGCTCGAACGTCAGGTGTCTGTTCAACAAGATGGACGAGCTTAGCCACGTGGCAAAGTTGCAACAACCGTCAATAATCGCCATCCAGGAAACCTGGGCGGATCCATCGGACAGCGACGGGATGTACGCCATCAACGGCTACAAACTCATAAGAGCGGACCGAGACACCTTTGGTGGAGGAGTCGCCACATACATACCACACAGCTGCCAACACGAGACAATTACCATTCCCATGACTCAAGCGGAATGTTTTTGGATTAGAATAACAATCGGCCAAGCCTCCCTTGTGGTAGGGAACATCTACCGTCCCCCGCGGTCCGACCCCGCAGAGTTCGTGATGGAACTGGAGAGAGCCATAAAGCTAGTTGAAAGACCCCAGGATGAGATACTTCTCCTTGGCGACTTCAACGCCAAGAACTGCTTGTGGCACCCCAGCGACACCACCGATGCCTTAGGTGAGGACCTGCATTGGCTGTGCGAGACTCGTGGCCTCACACAACACGTCTCCTTTGCCACCCACCTACGCCAACACACACCTACATCGTGCCTGGACCTGGCCATCTCTAGCCTCAGCCACCATAACATCACCATCACAAGCCTGCCCCCTATGGGTGCCTCTGATCATGTTGTCATACAAGGCAACATACGACCCCAGCAGCACACCACCCACAGAAACAATAATACAAATAATAATAAAAATGAGAGCAGTACTACACAGCAACGCACCTCCAGCACATATTGGTTGTGGAGCGAGGAACGCATTGCGTCCCTGCGTGAAGCTCTTGCTACCTGCAATCTGCAGTACGATCCACATCCCACTGACCCTCAGCCAGTAACCTCATTCTGGAACTTCTGGAGAGACCAGATACTGAAACTAGCCGTGCACCACTGCCAAGTGACCAGAAGCAAGTCCCGCAAAAATTCTACGCCCACTCGTCCCTGGATGACGAAGGATCTCCTCAGCCAGATCAAAACAAAGCACAAACAGTTCCGCACCTACAAGGCGACCCAACTAGACTCAGATTGGAAACTGTACACAGCCCAGCATAACCGAGTAACCGCTCTTTTGCGACAGGCTAAGTCCGACTTTGTCCAGCAAACAACGTCAACGGGTACATACCTCCACCGTCTACTGAAGCACCTGAAAAAACCGCCTAAGCAAACAATTCCCACACTATCGACAGCCAACTCCACTGCAGCCATGGCTATGGAGAAAGCAACAGCTCTCAACAAGTTCTTTATCTCCCAAAGCCAACAGTCCATCGACAAGACCACCTGTACTACACCAGACATCAACACTACCCCTGACATCAGTCATACTCTAAATACAATCGCAGCAACAGTGGAAGAGGTCGAGAAGCTTCTATGCAGTCTAGACACTGGCAAGAGCCCAGGCTTTGACAACATCCCAACTCGGCTCCTGAAAGAAACTGCAAAGGAAATCTCCCTATCTCTCACTAGTCTCTACAATCTGTCCTTCAGAACCGGAGAAATACCACAGGATTGGAAAGACGCAACTATTACACCCATCCCCAAGTCGGGCAACCCCTCCCATCCTACCAACTACCGACCCATCTCCCTGCTCAGTATAATATCAAAAACACAAGAAAAAATAGTCCACTCTCGTCTGTACAATCACATAGCACCGCACTTACCCTCCAACCAATCCGGCTTCAGGAAACAAGACGGGACCGAACTTCAACTCGCACGGATCGTCCACCAGATATCCACAGCTAGGGATGCGGGGAAGCATGTTGTAACGTGTTTCTTCGATCTCAGTAAAGCCTTTGATCGTGTATGGCATCAAGGCTTGCTGAAAAAGCTGAGCCACTAAGGTGTCGACGGCAAGGCTCACAATTGGCTCGAAGCCTACTTGACAGGACGCAGACAGCGGGTGCAGGTTGAAGGCACAACATCCGCCTTCATACCAATACCAGCAGGAGTGCCCCAGGGCTCGGTCCTGGGACCACTTCTGTTCCTGGCGTACACCATTGACCTGCCCACTGCCTGTGAAAATGCTACAACCTCGTGTAGCCAGTTCGCGGACGACACCGCACTAATTGCCATTGCAGGCAGCTACATTGAGTGTGAGGCTGCGCTACAAAGAAGCGTCGATGCCGCAGCAGAATGGCTAGAGCGCTGGCACCTGCTAGTTAATAAAACGAAAACCGTCATCCTCCCGTTCTACCATGCTAACCGACCCCCACCACGACTACCCGAAATAAAACTTGGCCAAACCCTATTAGAAACAGTAACACAACATTGTCACCTTGGCATCATCTTTCAGCACGACCTAAGATGGTCAGCCCACCTTGACTTTGTGCTGAAGAAAGCCGTAAAATCTTTTAATATTCTCTTTAGGCTCAAATCAACTCTACACACTAAATCACTCTCTCTCATTTACAAAACGTATATCCTGCCTATAATTGAATATGCATGCATTGCTGTCACCCCGCTCTCAATCGCAGCCCTTGACTGTCTTGAGCGAATCCAGCACAAGGCGGCCAGAATCTGCCTCCGTCTCCCCCTTTACACTCCTCTGGATCATTCAACACTGCTCCATCGGCTCAAATGGCCGACAATGTTCTCTCGCCGCAAAGTGAAGCTCACCCTTCTTGCTCACTCCATAAAATACCAATATGCCCCACAACACATATGCTTGCTCAACACCCCCGCTCAAGTTACGGCCCAGTACAGCCTTCGACACGCACGCACTTGGCACCTCCCACCCTCCAGAACCGATCGCTGTAAAGACTCCCCACTGTACAAGTCCCTAGAATACTACAATGCCCTCCCTGCTAGCATTCGTGACGTCTCCTCCCGACCTGCTTTCAAACAAGAAATCTGCTCACTGCTGATTAACTCAATCTGCTCCTGCAGCGCTCACCCTCTCCCATACTTGTAAAGTTCAAAGTGATGTAAATCACTTTCCAACTGTTTAACCCACAATCTCACCTTCTCATCAATTTATCTCTTATTGGCGATGGTGCCATCGTGAGAATAAAGAATTCAAAAATTCAAACACATTTTCTTTCTGTACGCAAAGTTCAGGATCTAACTTACGGATATACAAAGCTTCTAACACAGCCAAATGTAACGCACATCTACCACGTGACAATATTGAGAAAACATTATCACTGTACAACTCAAGACAATTGGTATGGGCTGACAGATGTTGCTTGATTGACGAAGTGCGATTCTTAGCTCCATTGGGTGTTGTCTCCTCCAATGTCCCGTCATCTCGCCTCTTCGTGGCATCACCACTATCTGTCTCTTCGCGTTTCCGCGGCCTTCCACGTTTCTTGACACTAACCGTTGGGTGCGCGATACCCGGTGTCCTTTCCGTTACGTCTCCTCCATTGCGGATTTCTATTGAGCTTCTTACTCCAACTTGTCCGGTGTCCGATATTGAGGTTAGTTTTCGAAATCCGCAATGGAGGAGACGTAACGGAAAGGACACCGGGTATCGCGCACCCAACGGTTAGTGTCAAGAAACGTGGAAGGCCGCGGAAACGCGAAGAGACAGATAGTGGTGATGCCACGAAGAGGCGAGATGACGGGACATTGGAGGAGACAACACCCAATGGAGCTAAGAATCGCACTTCGTCAATCGAGCAACATCTGTCAGCCCGTACCAATTGTCGTGAGTTGTACAGTGATAATGTTTTCTCAATATTGTCACGTGGTAGATGTGCGTTACATTTGGCTGTGTTAGAAGCTTTGTATATCCGTAAGTTAGATCCTGAACTTTGCGTACAGAAAGAAAATGTGTTGTCGCTACAATTGTTTGGTGTTACTCCTCGTCGAGGTGGTAACAATGTAACTTAATTTGCTCACTATGTTGTTGTCACTATTATTATCTTCCTTCGAGTTTTGTGTCGTGCTAAACTTGATAATTTTCCACCTTGTCACGAGTGTTGTTATCTAATTATCTTTACGCTATATAAGTTTTAGTCTTTCCAGCTTGAGCCATTCCCTGTATAATCCTTGATGAGAAGGGACCGAAAACCTTCGGATACTTATGACAAGTGCCTTATTATGACTGGATGTGTGTTTGTGTGGATATTTGCGACCCATAACTTACCTCCGTTTAAAAAAATTATTATTATTATTATTATTAAAAAGTTTTTTTTTGAGTTTTCTCGCATTTGCACCTTTGTGTCATTATTGCAATTTTCGCTGTTTACTTTAGCTATCTTCTTTCTTTCTTTCTTTCTTTTTGCGCTGTTTTACCACCTTCTTACTGTATTTAATCCACTGTTCCTGTTCCTTTTCTCTTGCCTGTATTTCACCTGATGAGAAGGCTTGAAAGTATACTTGTGAAGACAAAAACTTTCAAGATGTTTGTAATGAGCCTGAAGTGTGTCCTTTTTATGAGTATTATCGCATTTTTGTCTCAGAGGAAACTATTATTATTATTATTATTATTTTCACTAGTTTGAGGGAAAGAGACAAACGGGAAAAGTCTGAAGAAAAAATTGACTGTCACAACCAGGACTCGAACCAGGGACCCTCGCTTGTAGCTAGCGATGCTCTTACCACTGAGCTATGGTGTATTATTATTATTATTATTATTATTATTATTATTATTATTATTAACGCGACAAACGAAGACAACAGGACGAGGTGTGCTGACCTGGCAAGGAGCTGGAGGATTATGATCCTTGACAGCCTCACAAGCTCTGATGGTGATGGCGGCCTTCAGCATGCACGGACTCTCGAAACTGACTCCATGACGGATGCGCATCAGTGTCGTCGACCCGCAAAATCGCTTCAGTGTCCACCCGGGACCACCTCGCCGAGGGTTCAGTCGAGAGAGGGGCATGGAGGTGCTGGAGCTTAGGGACTGTCCATTCCTCGGAGATGGCAAGTCAGGCCAGCCAGTTT